AAGCTGAAGCAAATGTTTGAACCTAGTGGAATATTAATCTCATATGAATATGCTTATGCTAGCAAACACTAAACCCAGATGAAAAGCATGACACAGTTTTAAAAACGGTAACCTCATGTAAATATGCTTATGCTAGAAAATGTTTTTAGCTGGACAATATCTTTTAAATGGCAAGCTATTCCTATTTTTACATATATATGCAAAATATCATGTAACTTAAATGTATTTTAAATCTCAATCTACTTCAGGATTACAGTGCTTTAGTAACTATCAAACCCAGCACAGATAAATTGAAAAGAATTGCTATAACTGGGTGCGGTGGTTCACATCCCTAATCCCAGTACTTTGGAAGGTCAAGGCAAGAGGATCAGCTGGGCCCAAGAGTTCAAGGCCAGCCTAGGCAACATAGTGAGATCCTGTGTCTCCAAAAAAAAAAAAAAAAGTGTTTTAAAAAATAGCCAGACATGGTGGCTGTGCCTGTAGTCCTAGCGACTCAGGAAACTGAGCGGGGAGAGTCACTTGAGTCCAGGCTGTGGAGGCTGTCGTGTTGCCCATCACTGCACTCCAGCATGGGCAACAGAGTGAGACTCTGTCTCAAAAATAAAATAAAATAATGAATTGGTTTAACTTTCCAGATTTACAGATATTTCTGTTAAATGTCTGGATTGAACTTCCTCAAGAAATGGTAAAAGAAAATAAGGGATTCAGAAGCAGCAATCCAGAAGTTAAAGTAAGAAGTTGGGAGCTGGACAGACAGGAACTAAAATTCTAGCTCCTGTTCTTACTAGATGTAATATTTTAGACATGCTATTTAACCTTCCCAAGCCTCTGTGTTCTTCATCTGTAAAATAGAAGTAAAAACCCCTGACTCACAAGGTTGTTTTGGGTTGTTTTGAGGATTAAATTAGATATCATTTGTAAAGCTGTAACCCACAGTCTGACCCATAGCAAGTGCCAGTAAAGGGGAACTTCCATCACTTTGCATACATACTTCCCACGAACTTTCTTACTGGAAGATATTCCCAGACACTTGTTATATTCTGTGAACTCTAATCCTAGAAAAATAAAATACGTTCTTTTATCATAGTTTCATTTTCCTTACTAATGTCAAGTTGCATTCATATTTTTGTCACCATACTAAAATATTCCCAACTTAAGAATGTTTCTTCTATACAGTTCTTGTCCTCCTACCATTCAATAGTATTATCGTTCTTTACAAGACATGATACAGTACTTGATTCCATTTCCTAAATTTCCTTTTTCAAGAAACCTCATGTGCAGGTTTCTTGAACCTGCCAGGAGTCATCCCATGACCACAAAGGTTGTTTTCTAAGAGTGAGGCTTAACCATTGCCTCCAATATGCCGATTCCTGTGATTTTCCCAAATGAAGGAAACTCGATTGCATAATTTACGGTAGTAGGGGCCCGAGTTTGCACTCTCCCCCAATGTTTTTGATATAAGAAAAGAAACTTCATGTCCTTAAATCTTTGGGGATTCGTAAAATATCTATTTACAATTATATGCTATTATTTTCATTCAAAGCCTTTCAGACAAGAACTGATGTGGATCTTAATTTTTTCTAGGATAATGCTGGGTTATCTTGACCATGAATTCAACTTCAGCTAATTTTTTGGGGAGCCAAAGAAAAGTTCTTCACCCAATAATCTCAAATTTGACGAGGGAGCCTTATCATTAATCCAGGACCCCATTAAGAAGCACTTTGATCCCCAGTCAGCATGCCTAATTTAATGTTTTAGAAACATTACTCTGCTCTCTATTCTGCAAGACTTATTTTCCTACATTTTGTCAGGAAAAATTTTTTAAAGCTTTGAGAGATTCAGAAGAACACTGAATGAAGCCCTAGGTCTACATTGTGGTTCTGACAGTCTGTTATTTTTTGGGTGTCTGCATTTGGTTTGCACAACTCCTCCCTCCATTTCACTCTTGGTTCGCTGTCTTTGAAAAAGTTATCAGAATCCCACCTTGCGCCATGAAGAAGGTTTGCTGTGTTGGATTTTGACCCTTGGGAAAGAGTTTTGTTATCTAGTCTTGGACATGGAGATGTGAACTTTTAAAAAATCATCTTAAATGGGAGTGAACATTTCTGACCCTTGGGAGAAAAAACTAACTTTGGCAAATGGGAAAAGCATAGGTTGAGATGAGAGAGAAATGCTTCCCTGGACACAGTGCGGATTGTTTCTACCAGCAATCACTGGTGGAGGCTCCAGCTGAGCAGGGTGGGGCAGGGATAGAGGATCACCCTCCTGCCACTTCCACATGGGTTCCTTCTGATACATGCAGCTATTTCTGCAACAACTAATTGTCTTCATCTGGACTCTGTTCCGATTCATGGCCCTCTTTTCTGTCTCATCTTTTAAAAGCATTGGCAATGATACAGCAGAAAATGAAAGTCACTGAAACCTCATTGGGGTCTAAACAGAAAGTGGCAGAAAACTGTGAGGTCTTGGGCAAATCATTTCCTTTTCTTGACATCAGTTTTTTTTTAACCGATAATGACTGGCTTAAAAAAAAAGCATGAACTCTGTGAACTCTAAAAGCCTTTTAGCTCTGGCATTCTTTCCTGTTTAAACATTTCTTTTTTTAATTTCAAGCATATTGTGTTTGTAATTGTTATTTTAAAGCGATATACACAGGCACACAAACATATACAGTTTAAATCTCTCTGTTAATGAACTGTGCAACCAGTGCCAAATGTAAGATAGTCTTCGCATTTGATGGGATGTGCCTTTACTATTCCAGACCCTCAGCTAACAGAGCACGGCGATGAATTTTGGAGTTGCAACCCAAGGGCATAAAGGCCACTCCCACAACAGTCTAAAATGGCAGACTGCTGGGCATTTAGCAGCATCTGCTTCATAAATTACCACATTTATGTGGTGTTCTCAGAAGGGTTCCTATTGTTATTTACTCCTCAATGTTCAATGCTAAACATCAAAAGAACCCGAACATCAAAATGTCAAGTCCGGGGCGGAAATGTTTCAAGAGAACTTATTTTTGTACCAATTTAACTTTCCTCTGAATTTCAAGAACAAGGGTGTGGACCTGACATCAGACCATTCTATCAAATGAGATTCATCCAGTTCTAATTAGTACTCCCTTTGACAGGCGCAAGGACGCCATGCTACGCTTGGCACTTGGAAGTTACTGGCTGGACAGATTGTACTAAACAAAGAAATCTCCCTAATCACAAATGATTAAAAAGGAAAATAAAACCTGCACTACAACTCTGAAATTTGTATTACTTTATCCTGTGGTGTAAAGGATTTGAAAGAAGGAAGAGGAACTGAGATTTTGTTTACGACACTTTTAGGGTGTGTTTTTTCCAAGGAACTTAGAATGCCAGGAGTTCTGTCCTGGAGTAGTTATTTGTGCACAGATTTTTTTGTTTTTGTTTTTGTTTTTCTTTTGCAATCTCCTCTTTTCATTTATTTCAATAAAAAACAGCTGAAGAATAGTTTTATTAGTTCTGGACATATGAGTGGTAGTTTCTGGAGTGGCTGTTTTCACAACTTATTACAAGCAAGATGTCTTTTTTAAAGAGTCTTGCTTCTTTTCCACTAATTATAGTATTAGTCTTTCTCTTAGTCATTTCTCTGTTCTCTTTTAGTCTCATTATTTGATCATTTTAATCTTATGATACAGAAAAAAGAACTAAAATTTTGCAAATTTATACCTGTGAAGCTTACTATGTGCAGAGAGATAGGCCAGTCAGTCTCCACATACAAACAATGAAGAGCCAGATACTGCACAGTGACAGGGGCACTAGATTCAATAGAAATTCAGGAAAAAGAAGAAAGTTTATAACAATGTCTGATCTAGTGAGCACATAACACTGAAGTTGAGGGAACAGGTTCTTCCAGGGATCAAACTTGCCCTGAGAAGCGTAATAAGGAAGAAAGACTGAAATAGTAGAAACTTTGAGGGTTGTACTTATCTCCCACAATTGAATTAACCAAAACTTTTGACCTCATCCAATTCTGCTTCATTCATCAAAAATTCATCAAAATCTAGCCAGATCTTATTCTGGGTGTATATTTTCTCAGCTTACATTTTCTCTTTCAAAGAGCAAGGGCTTTTGAATGCCAAATTTTTTCTGCAATCTAGCTCACAAACACTTATGAAGACAGGAATAAGAAGGTAATGTTAACCTGAAGAGTCTTGCCATGGAATTAGAAGTGCACAATATGCAATATGCAGTAACACACTCATTATGCTATATGAACATATGTACATTATACTTTAAAGCACATGATACGGACGTGCTTTAAAGTAGGTACTGGGAGGAAGAGAGACTGTTTTTCAATTTTCTCGAATCCATAAGAGTCTTTAGGTATGGCATGCTGAAGATAACTCCCTGAGGATTGGAGTAAAACAAGAAGAAATGTGGTCAGAACATGTAACATGGGATTGAGGGGCTGCCCATAGGAAAATAGATGTAGGTCAAAAAGCATGAGATGGAAAGCTGGGCATGACACCTGAGGCAGCCTACCAAGTTGCAAAAGAACCGCCATTTGCTTGGTATATCAGCCACTTTGCACTCTGGGTAACTGAGTTGCAAACAAAGACACCTTTACTTCACAAAGGATATAAAATACCTTTAGTAATCTATCCTTTTTACTTTGCTTTCTACCATGGGATACAAAAGCTTGTATACATACACGTATACATACATACATACATACAAGCTTTTGTATCCCATGGTAGAAAGCAAAGTAAAAAGGATAGATTCCTAAAGCAGTGATTTTCCAAGAGCAGTTCCTAGGCCAGCAGCAGTTGCTGGGAATTTGTTAGAAATGTAAATTCTAGCAGAATCATAATCAGAAACTCAGGGAGTGTGACTCAGTGACATCTGTTATGACAAATCTTTCAGATAAAGTTTGAGGACCACTGTTTAATAAATAGGTAGGAAACACCATGCTTTAAAGTTCAACTTTTTAAGAGACCAAGACTTTATTTTTAATTTTTTTATTTCCACAGGTTTTTGGGGAATAGATAGTATTTGGTTACATGAGTAAGGGGTGAGTTGTCAGATCTTGGTGCACACATCACCCAAACAGTATACAATCAACCCAATTTGTAGTCTTTTATCTCTCAACCCCTTCTGACCCTTTCCCACTGAGTTCCCAAACTCCATGTGCCACTCATGCCTTTTCATCCTCACAGTTTAGCTCCCACTCATGAGTGAGAACGTACTATGTGTCCCATTGCTTTCATAAAAGGTAAACAATGGCCTCCTTTAGGCACACACTGATTACCCTTTTCAGCCTCCACTTTCTGTCCTGGATGTACCAGAGTTTACAGCCAGTTAAGCAGCAAGAGGTGGACATGCTCCTGGATGGGTGGTTTCAGGCAACAGCCTGCAACATCAAGTACTCTGAAAAACCTCCCAGTTCTGAGAAGGACGATGAGAAGAGTGGGAAAACAAAGTGTGTTGGGGCTGCTTCTAGCCAGATCCTGTTCAGAGTTCCACAGCTGAGCTTCCCTTTGGACTGTAGACTGTGTTTAGAGTTCCTAAACAAAATAGATGGGAGATGTGCCCCACTGAGGAGCAAAACAGACAAAGTCATTACCCCTCTAAGTAAGCACAGCCCTGAGCCAGGAACAAAAATTGGCCCAGTGTGTGGGAACATGGGCCCGCCAGGCCTGTGTAGAATCCACTCCCAGGCAGTGGCAGTAAGGAACATGCTGGGAAATGTTATGCTACACCCCCTTGGCTTTCAAGTCAGAGGTTAAGGAACCACCCTCATTTCCTTGAATTAGCCACTGTGAATTGTTAAACGTGAGTCTAACCAAATCCTTTTGAAGTTACTTATATTTTTACAGAGGCCTGGGATTTGACATTCTATAGACTTTACTTCCTGGATTGTAATGGGCTTTGAGACTGACATACCACAAATATACATCCATTCTTGATAGCAGACAAAGGGAACCATGCCTCACTTTAATGTTTACTAAGTATGGATTGTTAGCCATCTATATAAGAATCCCTCAGATTCTTGTCAGAAAACACTGGTTCACAGGTCACACCTCAGACTTATAAAATCAGAAATGTGTTAGGGTGGAGACATTGGGACTCTGCATTTTTACCAAAACTGCCAAGTAATTTGTATTTTCATTCATATTAAAAACATGGTCAGTTGGCTTAACAGTCAATCAACTTTTCAAAAAAGCCCAATCATACCCACATGCATCAAATTATTGTTTTGTACTCTGTCTTGGCAATGATACAACGAGAAAGAGAGTGCGTGAGATTTTCATGAAGGGCACAAATGGACAAATGCACAAAAGGATAGAAAAACTTAAATGGAGAAAAAAAGAAAATGTAAAGGATCATACTACTGTCCTTTGGAACACGTTACCACAAACTGGGAAGCATAAAGCAACAGAAATGTATTCTTTTGCAGTTCTGGAGGTGTCAGCAAAGCCATGCTTCTTCCAAAAGCTCTAGGGCAGAATCCTTCCCTTGCCCTTGCCTCTTCAGGCTTCCGGGCGATCTTGACAATCCTTGATTCGTGGCCTCATCACTCTCTTCTCTGCCTCTGCAGTCGCATTGCCTCCTCCGCTTCCCTGTATGTCTCCTATGCACCTATATTCTATAAAGATACACATGATTGAATATCCCTGGAAAAGCTGCTTCTCCCAGGATCCTTAATTTAATTACATCCGCAAAGACTTTTACAAAATAAGGTCACATTCACAGGTGAGGAATTAAGACATAAAACACAGACACAGCTTTGAGGAATTAAGACATAAGACATAGCTTTCTGTGGCTACCATCAAGCCCACTATAGAATCAAAGGTGGGAAAGAAGTGAGGAAGGTGTAAGAGAAGAAAACAGCAGCTTCTTTGCCTTGGTCACATTTAGCCCTCTTAGCCAGGAAGGCTGGAGTGTTTCAGATTGAAGGTGAGACCTAGTGTCAAAAGAGATTGAAATTTAAATAAATAGATAAGCTATCCCTATGACCTGTGTTCTTTTAGGCATGCTTCTCTGTTCTACATGACATGAGGAGGTCCAACTCCTGTTGATATTGACAATAATTTAGCCAAAGGAAAATTGCAAGCTGAAAAGAGTAAGTACAGCTAACCAGATGCAATTAGCCTGAGTAAGAAGAGTTCCGGAAATGTGATGTCCACATAGTAACATAACATCTGTTAGTGTATCAGTCATTTCCCTCATCGTTAGAGAGACTTGGGGGAGGGGGTACCTAAAATGAAAACTTTAACCTCTTATACTTGCCAAATCCTCTAGTCTTGGAAAACTTACTTCACACTAAAGCACGCTAAAGTCATGTGTGCCAAGCAATAAAAGCTCATTGTGCAAATCACATGTTCCATTTGCAATAGGAGACAGTAACACTTGTCTGAAATTATATTTTGGCAAATATAAATGGCTTCAGAAGTATGGGAAAGCCCAATCAATTCATGTGTAAGACATAAAGAACTTTAGAAAGTGCAACTTAATCTAATTCCGAAAACCTTGCTAATGCACAGGAAGTCACTTTAGCAGAAAATGGAAGGAAGGTCATGACTGTCAGCACATTGCCACATGTGATTCACTCATACTGAAGTGTGCATAGCCTAAGGTATAATTCTTCAGAATTCTGATGGTTCACACATTTTAAAAACTCACATGACAGGATTTCCTATGTATGGGATATTAGATCACAATTTGGACTTCACTAATGCATGTAAAGGGACGGAAATTCAATCCTGTGTCCAAGGGATCATGTTGAGATTGCGAAATATTTTTCAGAACTTTCTGGAAACTTAGAGAGCCAGGGTGCTTATGCAGATTTCTCCATGCCTGAACATTAGACACTGGCCAATCCTGTTCATGGCTTACTTCTTCCTGTGTCAAGACAGCAAGGAGAGCGAACCGCAGCTAGCAAAGCCACTCTTGAGCAGTTAATTTCACATTAACCAGTATTATTGGGAAGAACTTTTTCTTTTTTTAAATGTGATGCATCCACCTTAGGACAGGGGCTTCCTGAACGCCTTTTTGAAAACAAGTGTTATCTCATTTTTTATAAGTTATTTCGTTTACTTACAAACTTTAAGGAGTAGATGGCAACCCCAGTTTTACAGAGAACAAAACTAAACTGAGAGAAGTGAAGCCCCTTGCCCAAATGCACAGGTAGGAGGGGAGAGAAAGGTTTCCTTTCCAGTCTCTCTGACACCAAGCCCAGGACCCTTGTCTGTACAGCCTCTCTTCTTTGACCCCCACTGAAGTGATTTCTACCTGGGCCCAAGTATCACTTTGAATGTTCCTCATTTTCTGGTGCTGCTGGCAGAGGTGTGGTATGATCTGCTCATCTGTCTTGACTAAGTTTTTCTTTTCAGCTCCTTTGATGTAGATTCAAATTTCAAATCCATGATACAGAAGGTAGTATGAAATCATGAGCATCTTTGTTTTCTTCCTCTCTTAGGTTTATAGAACATATCTCTAAATCTTCATCAACTCCTTTTCTGCAAACTCTCTGTCTTCTAAGAAGTAACATAAATCCTGGGTAAAATGATCATTGTACCTTTGAAGTGAGTCATCTTAGCCAAAGCAACTTTCTCTGGAAGCTCAATTTTCTTGCAGCATCTCACTGCTTTTTGAAAAAACATGAAGTATACGTTTGGCCTTGGGGACTTCCATCTCTCAGCCTTCTTTTTTTATTTTTTATTTTACTTTAGGTTCTGGGGTGCATGTGCAGGTCATGCAGGGTTGTTGCAAAGGTGCATACTATATCCAGCATTTCTCCCCATGTTATCCCTCCCCACCCTTCCCACCCCCTGCTATCCTTCCCCTAGCCCCCGCCAACTGCCCCCGGTGTGTGCTACTCCTCTCCCTGAGCCCACGTGTCCTCATTGTTCAACACCCGCCTATGAGCGAGAACATGCGATGTTTGGTTTTCCGTTCTTGTGTCAGTTTGCTGAGAATGATGGTTTCCAGATTCATCCAAGTCCCTACAAAGGACACAATATCATCATTTTTTATGGCTGCGTAGTATTTTTCTACTTGTTTCTCAGCACCCAGAACACTGAGGCTCAGGTTATTATAAAGAAATTGTCCCCTGCCAATGTACTTTATGAGCTCAGTTTTTTTTTTCCAAGCTTTACCTACACCTTGCTGAATTCTGTAGCTAGTTTCCTGGTAAAAATTATTCCTTTGCTAATAATGCCATAATTTATTGTCCCTCCCCAACATAAGTTTTACAAAATAACCTCTAAATGTGAAAATTTAAATAAAAGGACAAGCTAACAAAACAGATAATTTTAATAAAATTGTCTTAAAATCATGAAATTTTAGAACTCAGAACTTTAGAAACCATCCAGATGAGATTTGCCTAAAATTTTTAAAACTTTAAAGTTAAATTAAAAAAAAAAAAAGAACTTTAGAAACCAGTGCTTTTACATCTCCCTATAGCCTTTGGTTTATGGTTAGGAAATTAAAGCCCACAATGGGAAAATTTATCTTTAACCTGCCAGAATGCAATCCAGTCCTCCTATTCAATGACTTTCAGTGAAAAAGTAACCTTACAAATTTATCCTACATTATGCCAAATCAGAAGCTGTTGATTCTCACCTTCAAGCTGCCACTTTTGGTAAGTATTTGGGAATATAGATCAAGTCATTTAAATTCAGGCTCTGCTCATGGACCAGGCTCAGCCAAGCAGCACCTTGTTTTATTTGGTCTGTGATAATGCCCCATAGCTAGTGAGAGGGTTTTCACGTGTCCTCACATAGCTGAGACAATGTTGAGAGACACACTCTCCCCTTGTTGGGCTTTTTGGTACCTGAACCTCAAATATTCCCCCAAAGTCTTTTACAAGTATTCCCCAGAAAGTGACAAGTGTTGCAAAAAGGGAAAATCAGGTCAGTGAGGAGGGGAAATTGGCAAGAATTTAGAGTTAGAATGAATGGCTGGAAAAGAGAGCTCTGGAAGTAGATAGAGATGAGGTGTAGGGAGGTAAAAGAGAAAACCAAAGAGATGATGCGAACATACCTAGATTGTGCTATGTAAGTGAGCAGTGGAGAGGCCTAATGCTGATAACAGGGAAGGAGCTGCAGTTGTCCAGGCTGAGGGAGGAGGGTGGCATGCTGGACGTCTTCAGCACAGCTGTTTGGGGTTAGAATAACCTAGCAGAGTACTTTCTCCACAGTTGTTATCCCTGCCTTTCTCTCTTATCCATTTCCCGTCCATAATCAACAGTTAAATAAGACACTCCATTTAGATAACACTTTCTCTCTTTTTACAGGACTTGACAGAAAGCAGTCGGCTATTTAAACATACTTTCCATGGTTGGTCATTTGTACACACTTTGTGGAAAGGAAATGAGTGTCATGGCAAGGCAAAGGAAAGGGATCACCACTTTTAATAATTCCCCCGTCTTTCTTCCCCTGAGAGATTGCTCAATCCCTGAACTAATGGACACTCGTAAATTGGGAAAGAAGAAGTCATCAAGAAAACCCACTGGACATCCAACCATACTAAATCCTCCACTCTAGTTGCCTTACACAACCCAACTTTTTCCTCCTTTAAATAAGAACAGGAGAGCAAGAGTTGTATTTCATGAAGAAAACTAAATTTGAAAGATGACTCAGGTTGACATTATATTCCAATCTCTTTTACATGTCTCACATAATTTATTAGACAAATTAATGTAATTATGTACTCTTGAAATCAAACCAAAAATAACACAAGTTATCGTAATATGTCAAAATGTTACTGTAGGTCCATAAAAGATGATAGTAGTTTTAATATAAAAATTGAATAAATAATCTAGTCCTTAATTTGAAGCTACCCTCAACACAGTTTGAAGAATTTTTTTTTTTAATTAAAGCTACACCAAGTCCTAACAACAATTTGAAATTTTTTCAATGTCTCTTGTTGCAACTAAATTGCTACTTCCAGCAGGGTCTAATGGCTCACACTTGTAACCCCAGCATTTTGGGAGGCAAAGCACTAAAAATCGCTTGAATCCAGGAGGCAGAGGTCACAGTGAGCCGAGATGGTGCCACTGGACTCCAGCTTAGGCAACAGAGCGAGACTCCATCTCAAAAAAATAAAAATAAATAAATTACTACTTTTAGTTTTATTTAAATATGCTGCAAGTGCACCGAGTCATTATGAGAAAGTGAAATAATTGGCAGGACTCAGCAGTTAGTGTTTGGTTTGGTTAAAAAATAATTTGATGTCTATAGTCGATAATACATTTAAGAAGACAAAAAAAATTACATGTCTGCTCTGCAAATCTCTATAAAATCTGATCAGAGTCAGTTGTTGTATAAGCAGAGAATACAAAGAAAAACTAAACAGAAACTTGAAAATTTTTAAATATCTTAAAAGCCCTTTAAAAAATTGGTCAGCCTTTCCTGGAATGACTCTTGCAGACAAACTCTTCTTTTTGGTAATCGGCCTGGAATCATATCAAACAATGCTGTTAAGAAAACACTATCTTTTTTTAAATTATGAAACTAAAATTCATCAAAGGATGATTTAGAGATCTATGGGAACTATTTTAAAATAACAAATGCCAAAAAATTATAGTCCTTAATTTGTTATGTTAATGATTTGAAACATATGTGGTAATACCAAAATATTTAA